CTGAATCTGGCGACTTGTGTTTTGCGTTATCTGGCAGGTACTCGCGCACTAGGATTGCATTTTGGAGGTGTTGGCGAGGTCGAGATGTCCTGGTACAGTGATTCTGACTGGGCAGGAGACCCGTTTACGTGGCATTCTACAACTGGCTACGTATTCACTCTCAATGTGGCTGCAATTAACTGATGCAGCCAACTTCAACGTACTGTGGCGGCTTCGTTGGTAGAGGCGGAGTACCAAGCTACAGCGGCGGCTGTTTATGAAGTTTTGTGGCTTCACATGCTGACGGCCGGTTTGGGTTTTGCCTGAGAGTATGGTGATAAATCCAGGTAGACTCCAAGGGGGCGCTGAGCTTGGGGAACAATCCGATCAGCCTGTCAGCCGATCAGTTGAAGTACTGCCCTACGGAGTGGGCGTTCATGCATGCTCTCACTAAGGGCCTGAGCATGGTGAAGTTCAATCGTTGCTGAGATGCGGTGGGCCTTGCATGAAGCGTGCTGGTGAATCTGGTACTCGTTGGGATGCGTCCCGAGGGGGCGTGTTGAGGAAACGGTACTTATCCCAACTTGAGTATTGTTGGACATGGGATTCGACCCCGGGTCTGTCTGAGACAAGCGGCGAAACTTAACACGCCACTTCTGGGACTGCCGATGCATGACCGGTTAGTGATGCAAGTTTGGGCACCGTCAGGACGGCTCCGCTAGATCGCGGAATGATAGGTGGGCGAATCCACCTGACTGATTGGCGTCTGTCAGCGACAGTCGCGCACCGCGACCGGGTCCGGCGCGCCTGTCCCAACGATAGTGCAGGATGGTAGGCTGGCATATCCAAGATTGATTGATAGGCGATGACTCCGGCCGCATATCTCGGACGTCCCCTCGTGCCCAGCGTTGATGGTGGGCGACTGTACGATACTTCCGTTGGTATCGGTACATAAGACCAGAGTGGTGCGTGTCTTTCTATCTCATCTTCGGATGGATCGGTATTCCTTAACAGGAATCTCCTAAAGTCTTCTTGCCGTTCACCACTAACCCACAGACTGTAACCCTTATATCGCGACCAGTCTCCTTGCCTTCATATTCTTAACAATCTCATCTTTGTATGGATCGGTATTCCTTAGTAGGAATCTCCTAAAGTCTTCTTGCCGTTTACCACTCACCTACCGATTGTAATACTTATATCGCAACCAGTCTTCTTGCCTCCTTCATATTCTTAACACCCTGCTGAACATTTGCTGAGTAATACTTTCACTGAAGCCATTTCAGGTGCAAATGCAAATGAGTGGCGCAGAGTGATGGTCGAGGAGATTGCTGCATTAGCAGCTAACGGCACTTGTGAGCTGTGTGCACAGCCTCTTGAAGTGCTAATGTACCGGTGGTACAAGTTGAAAAGAGTGGAAGGTGACACGGTCAAGCGCTTTTTTGCATGGCTAGTTGCAAAGGTGTACATCAAGTACGAGCCCTTGAAGAAGCGCAGGTATTTTCGGGCATGGAAATTAAAGGATGAAGCCGGGCGAATTAATGTTGTCACAATATCAAGGAGCTATTGGAGCGTCACCAGACGGTGGACGCCAAGCCACGGTCTACCCCTTTGCCTCCGGGTTTTAGGTACACTCCTTAGGGGGACGGAGAGGAGCTGCTGGGTAATCCCACGGAGTATAGGGCTTTGGTGGGAGGATTGAACTATCTTGCGACGAACACGCGGCCTAACATTTCGTATGCATTGAGCGTTTTGTCCCGGCATATGGCCACACCTACGAAGACTGCCATGAACTGGCGTTCTGCGTTACCTGGCGGGTACTCGCGAACTAGGATTGCGTTTTGGGGGTGTTGGCAGTGTTGCAATGTCCGGGTACAGTGATTCGGACTGGGCAGGAGACCCAGTTACACGGCGTTCTACGTCCGGTTACGTATTCACTCTAAGTGGGGCTGCGATTAGCTGGAGCAGCCAACTTCAACGTACTGTGGCGGCTTCGTCGGTGGAGGCCGAGTACCAAGCTACAGCGGCAGCTGTTCGTGAAGCTTGGTGGCTTCACAAGCTGATGGTCGATTTGGGCTTGCCTGAGAGCGCGGTGAAAAATCCAGATAGATTCCCAGGGGGCGCTTAGCTTGGGAAACAACCCGATTACGTCTGCTGGGTCGAAACACATCGACGTGCAGCACCACATAGTGCGTGAGAGGGTGAATAGCGGGGAGGTGCAGTTGAAGTACTGCCCTACAGAATGGGCGATCATGCATGCTCTCACAAGGGCCTGAGCGAGGTGAAGTTCAATCGTTGCTGAGGTGCGGTGGGTCTTGCATGAAGCGTGCTGGTGAATCTGGCACTCGTTGGGATATGTCCCGAGGGGGCATGTTGAGGAAACGGTACTTATCCCAATTCGAGTATTGTCGATCAGGGGATTTGACCCCAGGTCTGTGTGAGACATGTGGGGAGTCTTATCCCGCAACTTATGGGACTGCTGATGCATAACTGGTAGTTAATGGTGGGCCGTGCCTCGACCTTGCCTCAACCTTGCCTCGGCCGTGCCTCGACCTTGCCTCGGCTGTGCCTCGGCTGTGCCTCGGGTGTCTCGGCCGCATATCTCTGACTTGTCCTCTGGTCCAGGGATGGTGGACGACTGTACGATACTGCCATTGGTACTGGTATATAAGACACAAGTTATGCAAGTCTTGGTATCTCATCTTAGGATGGATCGGTAATCCTTCACAGGAATCTCCTAAAGTCTTCTTGCCGTTCACCACTAACCCACAAACTGTAACCCTTATATCGCGACCAGTCTCCTTGCCTTCATATTCTTAACAGGTTATGAGCCCCGAATGGCGCATTGCGCTGCCGAGAGGTCGCCGGATTCGATACACACTGGCTGTTGCCCAGAGAATGGGAGACCGGGATGAGGCACGGGAAGGCCCGAAGCGAGA